GTGGGGCCTGAACTCTAGGCCTGGGCGCTGTCCCTCAGCTCTTTAGCTCAAGGCTAGCGCTCTACCACTTGAGTCATAGTGCCACTTCCACTTTTTGCCTATGTGGTGCTGAGGAATCGAACCCAGGGCCTCAGGCATGCAAGGCAAGCGCTCTACTACTGAGCCAACTTCCCAGCCCATAGTGAGACTCTTATCTCCAATTAATCACTCAAAAGCTGGAAGTGGATCTGTGGCTCAAAGTGGTAGAGCACTAACCTTGAGCAGAAGAGTGCAGGGACAGTGCCCAGACCCTGAGTTCAAGCCCCACAGCGGTTTAAAAAGATAAATTATATATATATATATATATATATATATATATTCAAGCCAAGTGCCAGTGGCTCACACTAGCTATTAAAGAGACTGAGAACTAGAGGATCTAAGAAGATGATAGTGAGGACAGAAAAGTCCATGAAGCTCTGTCTCCAAAAGAACCCTAGCAAATAGAACTGGAGTCCTGGCTCAAGTGCTAGAGCTCCATTCAAGAAAGCAAACCAAGCAAAATTGAGGCCCTGAGTTCAAACTTCAGTACCACCAAAATAAGTAATTGAAAAATATATAAAATATATGACTCCATTAAAATTTGTTTATATAGACATTCATTTTTATTGTTATTTTTTATGGTACTAGGATTTGAACTCAGGCCTCATGCTTGGTAGGCTGGAGTTTCTACTACTTGAGTGATGCCTCAGCTTGTATAGAAAAATCCTTAATGTTGAAACTTGGATCTTTGCTAATAAGTATCATTTTTATAGTAATTAAGATAAAAACAGGTCATTTAAAGTTTTCATAATGTAATTGGTGTCCTTGTGTGTTTTACACCAAATGTGTCTATGGTGTTTTATCATAATGTGTGAGAGTAATATTGCTGTAAATGACTATTCTCTGCTGAACTGTCCTTGTATAGTGGTCTTTTGAAAACTACGGTAAAGTTCCACAATCCCAAGCCTATATGTCTGAAATACAAGTAATCCCAAATTGTGATTGTTACTTTCCAGACTTGGAAAAAATCATTGTGTTTCAATATGTGTCTGTGCCACATTTAATTACTTAGTAGATATTGTTCCAGTGCAATTGACATCCAAGTCATCAATTCTTCTGTGCCAAATAAAGTCACTTAATGTCAGAATAGATCAAAGTATAAACTAAAAATGCTTTAAAAGAACTTGTATTACAAAATCTTGTATAATATAAATGACTAATGAAGCAATCTTTAAATTTCAAAATAATACATAACAAAAAGTAGAGACAGAAATCAATAATACTCTGTATGGTTGAGCTCTTCCACCAAATGTATGATACACTGCTTTGTGAATTTAGAAAGTTTGTATCCTCTAGTTGAAATGGAAACAGTGGAGTTCATGTATTTTATCAAGTCAAATAAAATGTGATTTAATCAAAACAAAATCTTTTTAGCAGCTCAACTTATAGATTGTGTTCTTATTTTACAACAGTGTCTGCCAAATATTGTCTTTCTCGTGTTACAGTAAGGAATCTATTGGATAATATTTTGGAGGTGTGATGCAAGAAAGCATCAATGAGGCGGCCCCAGTGGCTCCCGCCTGTAGTCCTAGCTGCTCAGAAGGCTGAGATCTGAGGATCACGGTTCAAAGCCAACCTGGGCAGGGAAAGTTCATGGACTCTTATCTCCAATTAAACACCAGAAAACAGGAAGTGGTGCTCTGGCTCAAGTGGTGGAGTGCCAGCCTTGAGCTGAAGAGCTCAAGGACTGTGCCCAAACCCAGAGTTCAAGCCCTACAACTGACCAAAAAAAAAAAAAAGGAGGAGGAGGAGGAGGAAGAGCATCAGTGATGAGCCTGGTGCTGGTGGCTCATGCCTGTAATCCTAGCACTAAGGAAGCTGACATCTGAGGATCATGGTTCAAAGCTAGCAGTCAGGAAAGTCTGTGAGACTCTTTTTCTTTTTTTTTTTTGGGTCCGGTCGTGGCACCTGAACTCTGGGCCTGGGCGCTGTCCCTCAGCTCTTCAGCTCAAGGCTAGCACTCTACGACTTGAGCCACAGCGCCACTTCCGGCTTTTTTCTTATGTGGTGCTGGGGAATCGAACCCAGGGCCTCGAGCATGTAAGGCAAGTGCTATACCACTGAGCCACCTTCCCAGCCCTCTGTGAGACTCTTAACTTCAATAAACCACCAGAAAACAGAAAGTAGAGCTGTGGCTCAAAGTGGTAGAGCACTAGCCTTGAGCAAAAAGAGCTCAGGGACAGCACTCAGGCCCTAAGTTCAAGCCCCACAACAACAACAACAAAAAAGCATCAGTGGGCAATTCTTGACAACCATAATCTGCAGTGATACAAGAGTAGTGTCATAGTAAATGTTTTCCTACCAACTTCTCTGGAAAGAAAAGTGATGTCATTTCCTAGAATTTTTTTGCTTTGTTCTTTTGTTTTACCTGTTTATACTCTACTGCATCTCCTGCCTCCAATAACAATCTATTGCAGTGGTCCCTAACCAGGGTATATTAGCCAGAGGTCTCCAGGAAAAAAGAACCAGCATCAGGAGACTGAGATCAGAGGATTGCAGTTTGAATCCAACTTGAACAAGTCAATGAGATTATTAACTCCCCTTAACCACTCAAACGTCAGAAGTGGCTGGGTCCTAGTGGCTCATACCTCTAATCCTAACAACTCAGAAGAGACTGAGATCTGAGGATTGCAGTTGGAAGCCAGCCCCGGCTGGTAAAATCTTCTCACAAATAAACTATCAAAAAAAACAAATGTGGAACTGTAGCTAAAGTGGTAAAGTGTTAGCCTTGACCACAGCGCTCAGGGACAGTGCCCACTCCCTCAGTTCAAGCCCCAGGTTGGGTACCCTCCCCCGCCACACACCACACAGAACCAGAAATGGAAGTGTGCTCAATGGTAGAGTGTCAGCCTTCTGCCATAAAGTCAAGCATGAGAGCATGAGCCCCTGAGTTCAAGTTGCAGTGCCAGACAAATAAAGGAACAGAGCTAGGCACTGGTGGCTCATCCCTATAATCCTAGTTACTCAGGAGGCTGAGATCTGAAGATCTCAACTGGGGCAGCAAAGTCTATGAGACATCGCCAATTAATCACCAAAAAACCAGAAGTGAAGCTGTGGCTGAAGCAGTAGAGTGCTAGCCATAAGCAAAAAAGCTCAGGACAGTGCCTAGGCCCTCCCTGAGTTCAAGTCCGAGGACCAGCGTGCACACACACACACACACACACACATCAACAATTATTTAAATTGGGTGAGCTGTTTTTGATTGTTGGATGAAGCACAAGGAGGTTGCTACTGGTATCTAGTGGATAGAGGTCAATGGTACTGTTAAACATCTTACAATGCAGAGGACAGTCCCACAATGAAGAATTGTTCAACCTAAAATACCAGTAGTGGCAGGTGTTGAACCTGATCTGAAAACTCAAATATACTTTATGGTGGTTGCCAGTAATTTGGGGATTTCTAGCTCATGATTTTGGAATTAATGTTGATACAATGGAATATGTGGTATCTTCTTTCCAAATTAAATTATCAAAGACTAGGATAAGAAGAGCAGCTTCTCTATCCTTATTCTTGTGAGTTAACCTAAAAGGAAGTGGTGAAAAAACAACTGCTTTTTCCTTTCTTTTTTCAGTTTACTTTCTATTTCAAATTTCTGAGTCTAGTGTCTTTAATCTTTGTGGGGCCTGAACTCTGGGCCTGGGCGCTGTCCCTCAGCTCTTCAGCTCAAGGCCAGTGCTCTACCACTTGAGCCACAGCGCCACTTCTGGCTTTTTTCTTTTTTGCTTATGTGGTGCTGGGGAATCGAACCCAGGGCCTCAGGCATACAAGGCAAGCGCTCTACCACTGAGCCAGCTTCCTAGCCCCATCCCTTAGAATTTCTGTACTCTAGATATTTTACATAAGTAGAATCTTTTGTTGTTGGTGGTGGTGGTCATGGGGCTTGAACTCCAGGCCTGGGTACTTTCCCTGAACTCTAGCTCAGGGCTAGTGCTCTACAACTTTGAGAAACAGAGCCACTTCTGTTTTTCTGGTGGTTGATTGGAGATAGGAGTCTTGTGGACTTTCCTTCCCAGGCTGGCTTGGAACCATGATCCTCAGATTTCAGCCTCCTGAGTAGCTAGAATTACAGGCCTGAGCCACCAGTGCCTGGCTATAAGTAGAATCTTAACAATATTTCTCCTTTTATGGCTGGCTGATTTTACATAATATAATGTTTCTAGGGGTTCATCCAATAAGGATGACATGTATCAGAACTTTATTCTGTGTCTGTGTGTGCACACATTTGTGTGCATGCACACATGCCCCATTTCTTGGGCTTGAATTCAGGGTCTAGTTCCCCTACTTGGCTTTTTTGCTCATGACTGGTGCTCTAACCACTTGATCCACACCTCCACTTCCTACTTTTTTCTAGTTAATTGGAGATAAGAGTCTCAGGACTTACCTTCTCCAACTAAGATCCTCTAAGATCTCAGCCTCCTGATTTGCTAGGATTATAGATGTGAGCTACCAACACCAGCAGAACTTCATTCTTTTTGATGGCTGAATAATATTCTATTGTATATATAAGCCACATCTTGTTTACCCATTCATCTTTTGATGGAATTTAGATTGTTTCCACCTGTTGGCTGTAGTAATAATGCTTCACTGAATGTTGTCATCTGTTGGGGTCCCTGTGGTCAGTTCTTTTAATTATGTACTTAATAGATTATATTCCTTAAGAGCAGGGTATCTATTTTTATCATAATTTTTCTACCCCATGTACTTAGTATAGAGCATATGGCTTAGGAATCTAAGTTTCTTTCTGTAGTCAGTGAATTGAATACATGAAGGCTTGTTGGTAGACCATAAAAGTGGCATAAAATGAAACAGTATGTTTCTGTTAACTGTATTTCAAGAAATTGCTTTAACTTAATATTCTGCTGCTAACTAAACAGCTAATAGGTTATGATTCATATTTTGTGGGTCTGTTTTTGTTTTAACAGTGAATGCATAAAAATACAACCAACTGACATCCAACCTGACATATTCAGCTATTTGTTGCATATTATGTACACGGGGAAAGGGCCAAAACAAATTGTGGATCATAGTCGTTTGGAAGAAGGGATTCGATTTCTCCACGCAGACTATCTTTCTCATATTGCAACTGAAATGAATCAAGTGTTCTCACCAGAGACGGTGCAGTCTTCAAATCTGTATGGCATTCAGATTTCAACAACCCATAAAACAGCTGTCAAACAAGGGCTGGAGGTCAAAGACACTCCTGCCAATAACAGTGGAAACAGAGGTTCTGTCCAGGGTGACCACCCCCAGCTGCAACTCTCTCTTGCTATTGGGCTGGATGATGGTACTGCAGACCAGCAGAGGACCCATCCATCCACTCAGGCTTTAGAGGAGTCCCAGAAGCCTCCAGTGTCCATCAAGCAGGAAAGATGTGATCCAGAGTCTCTGATCTCCCAGGGCCGCCCCTCCCCCTCACCAGAGGTAACAGGCCCTTCTTTTACAGAAAACAGTATCAAAGTCCACATATGTCATTACTGTGGGGAGCGTTTTGAGTCCCGTAATAACCTAAGACAACATCTCCATACCCACGTGTCTGGATCACTCCCATTTGGTGTTCCTGCTTCCATTTTGGAAAGTAATGACCTTGGTGAAGTCCATCCACTAAATGAAAACAGTGAGGCTCTTGAATGCCATAGGCTCAGCTCCTTCATTGTGAAGGAGAACGAACATCAGCCTGATCACTCAAATCGAGGTTCTGCAGAGCCTTTGCAGATCAGTCAGGTGTCTTTGATCTCCAAAGACACAGAGCCAGTAGAATTGAACTGTAATTTTTCATTTTCAAGGAAAAGAAAAATCAGCTGTACCATCTGTGGTCATAAATTTCCTCGAAAGAGTCAGTTACTAGAACACATGTATATACACAAAGGTAAATCTTACCGATACAACCGATGCCAAAGGTTGGGCAACGCATTGGCTCAGAGATTTCAGCCATATTGGGACAACTGGTCTGATGTCCCCCTGAAAAGTGCTCGCTTATCACAAGAACACTTAGATTTGCCTTGCGCCTTAGAGTCAGAACTCACACAAGAAAACGTGGACACAATCCTAGTTGAGTAGCAGCGTCTTCAGAATTTTTACACCAAGGCATTTTTTTATTCATAAATTATTTTCCTCAGATTCTATTGACTTTTAAGAACAATGTATCCATGGTTTTAAGTAGTAGTCTATGGCTAATTAAATTAACTTTCAGTTAGTCTAGTCTTATAAACTTCTTATCATTAAATCATATGTTAGAAATCAGAGGTTCAAGCTGATCCTAGTAACTGAAGCCTTTACTCCTAACAGCTTGGGAAATAGAGATTGGGGGATGGTGGTTCAAGGTCAGTATGGGCATATCAATTCTCATTCCAGTCAATAGCTGGTTGTAGTGACACTGCAGTGCATACCTGTCATCCAAGCATCAAAAGAAAGTACAAATAAGAAGATCGCAGGGGGCTGGGAAGGTGGCTCAGTGGTAGATCGCTTGCTTTGCATGCATGAGGCCCTGGGTTCAATTCCTCAGCACCACAAAAGCAAAAAGAAAAAAGCTGGAAGTGGCGCTGTGGCTCAAGTGGTAGAGCGCTAGCCTTGAGCTGAAGAGCTGAGGGACAGCACCCAGGCCCAGAGTTCAGGCCCCACGACCAGACCCAAAAAAAAAAAAAAAAAGATCGCAGTCCAAGCATAAAGGGATTCTGTCTTGAAAATACTACAAAAAGGGGCTGATGAAGTAACAAAAAAAAAAACAGAAAAAAACAGGAGTAGTAGAAATATGGAAACTTCAGAGTAATTAAATTTTCCAGGTTGCAGAATCAGTAAATTTGAATATGATGAAAATATGAAAAAAATTAGACAATATTCTAGAGACTGGGGATGTAGCTCAGTAGTAGTTTGGTAAGCATGTTTGGAGGCCTCAGTTCAATACCCAGTACTAAAAAAACAAACCTTTAATTAACCATACATAGATATTATTTTTTCTTTTGGCAGTACTGAGTTTTGTACTTGATACTTGGCACAATGCACTTGTTAGCCAACATTTCAACCACCCTCCCACATTTTTTTGCTTTAGTGTTTTTTAGGAATGATCTCAAATTTTGCATGCAGCCAAATTCAGACCATAGTCCTCCTGTCTCTGCCTCCTAAATACCTGGGGTTACAGGTATGTCCCACCATACTTAGTACTGAGAGGCTCTCACCTTTTTTTTTTTTTGCCTAGCCTCACGTAATTTTTACCTAGCTTCAAATTGTGATTCTCCGGTGTCCACTTCCCAAATAGGATGGGGGAAGGGAAATAAATAAATAAGTAAATAAATATATCTTAAAATATCACCATTGACATATTTTACATGAATTAAGTTCTTATGAGGATTATTTATAAATATGTTCTGTCAGAGGAGATTGGTAATTATTTTATTATGTGTGTGTTATACTTTTAAAAGTGAATTTTAGCAGGATGCCAGTGGCTCACACCTGTAATCCTAGCTAATCAGGAGGCTGAGATCTGAGGAACACAGTTCAAAGCCAACCTAGGTAGGAAAGACGATGCCACTTATCTCCAGCTAACTACCTGAAAACTGGAAGTGGGTCATGGCTCAAGTAGTAGAGTGCTTCCCTTGCACTGAAGAGCTCAGGGACAGCACCCAAGCCCAGAGTTCAAGCCCCATGACGAAAAAAAAAAGTGAATTTTAAGACATGGTTATGCTATACCAAAATCACAAGTAGTTTAAACTTTTTATTTACTAGCTCTGCAACATCTTACGTAGCTTTTATTTACTTAGCATTGAATATGTCTCCTTTTTAAGAAGAAAATTTAAGCCAGGTGGCAGGGCTTATGCGTACAATCCTAGCTACTTAGGAGGCAACAGCACCCAGGCCCTAAGTTCAAGTCCTCGGACCAGCAAAACAAAAACCACTTTTTAAGTTAAAAGAGAGTACTGCTGGGCTTGGAAGGTGGCTTAGTGGTAGAGTGCTTGCCTTGCATACATGAGGCCCTGTGTTCGATTCTTCAGCACCATGTAAACAGAAAAAGCTGGAAGTGGCACTGTGGCTCAAGTGGTAGAGCCTAGAGCTGAGGGACAGTGCCCAGGCCCAGAGTTCAGGCCCCATGACCGACCAAAAAAAAAAAAGACTGCTGGGTTCTAGTTGCTCACACTATAATTCTAGCTACTCAGAAGACTGAGACCTGAGGATCATGGTTTGAAGCCAGCCTAGGTAGAAAAGTCCATGAGACTCTTTT